TGCTCAAGATGGAGGCCAGAATGGGTCAGTCCCTTTTCCTTCCTTTTCTCTCATAGCTGCCAGCGAGAGTCGCTTTCAGCCTGAACCTTCCAATCCCCGCCTCAATAAGAGCGAGGGGCGCTTGGTTCCGCTGTTTATTAAGAGCGTTCTCAAGCTAAATCTATCAAGCCACTTGTTGTCGTTTTGTCACTGTACGGACTGTTGGGTTTTAACTGAAATGCCTGTGAAATAGAAAGAGAAGGCTTTAAAATACAGTGAATACGGCGATAAAGCTGTCGCGGCACTCGCTTTAAAAGCAAAATGTAGTGGGATGAGTTGTGCATGTAAGGCACGGATGCTAGCGGAGCTATTTTTAGACGTGCCAAGTGACAGTTCGTGCTTACCAAATGTAGGCAGCTGTTCTTGCTTTAGAATAGGCCTGGGGTACTTGCTTTCAATGTAGGAGATTGTAGTTCGGGTGGTATAAAGCGAAGGTTAAAGCGGTTTCCAGGAGGAAGGAGGCTGCTTGGCACCAATTCCTGAGAACTGGGGTGCGGGGGGGGTGTTTTTCTGGTTTGTGTTTGATCTGCAGTGAATAGCTTGTGTTTAAAGGCAGAAAGCTGCTCCTCGTAACGCTTCCGATCTTCCTTTTTCCTTTACAAAGAAATGCTCGCACCTGTGCCTGCTCCGTGGGGTTTGTAAATCACTTTCCTCGTTCATAAATCATTTTCATTGCTCTCTTTAAAACCGCACCTCGGTTTTCCAGTGACTTGTAACTGACTTTCCCTTGGAGGAATTCGCAGTGAAACCGCATCCGGGTGTCCGTAAACTGAGGCTGGTTTGGTGGGGAGGGGAGACACTGAGAAGTGCTCCATGTGCAGTGTAACTCTGCTCTGGGGGCTCCCAGCGTGGGCCTTTTTCATGTTGATAACTGAGAACAAAAGGGTCGCTGGAGGCCATTTGTGGGTGCTTTAATTACAGTCATTTACCTTTGTATCTCCTGTCTTGGAAACCGGGATACAGGTGAATGATTGTCTTCACCTTCCTTCCGCCTGGGTGCAGGTACAACACCTTCCTGCTTGTAGTAAGTGATTTCCTGTGAAGCAGTAAGACCCTCGTAGCAGTGAGGAGGCTGTAAAACTGGGTTAGGGAGGAGGGAGTATCTCATTTATCCAACTACAGCTCTCTGCAAGCGGAGAGGAGTGGGGCTCATGCCTAGCATGTCACACGATACAGGAGCAGCACCCAAATATCACCGTGTGGATGCTCAAATTGCAGCGTTTGAAACTAAATATAGTTTCAGTATTTGGAGCAAATAGGAAGAAATGAGTCTTTCAAAGATGTCTCGCATGATTTAGGGCATAAAACCCACCAATTCTTTTTTTTTGCAATACTGGTTTTGATATCCCCCCCCCTTCAGTGTTATAGATACTTGCAGCTCAATTTAGGCTTACAGTTTACAGCAATTTTTAGGTCAAGCTCACAATTTGGTTCATAAGCTCCTTTTAGCTGCTAAACTTGGTTCATGGAAGGTGCACAGAGACACACTTCGGTGGTTAGAAGCAAAGCCAAAGAAACCAAATAAAATGTTAAATTCGGGGAGTATAGCCCATACAAAAGGAATTTTACAATGGCTTGATTTTTGTGTTTGATTTTTTGCACATATTACAGTTGTCTTGCTGAGAGCTTCATTGGTTTGACAGGGAGAACAGCAGCTCTGTAACACGATGGGAGCCAGCAGAGTAACAGGTCAGCAGAGTGCACGGGTAGGCTGGGCCTCAGTGCGACAAGGACTTTAGATTGGTGCTGTTGGAGCAGGAGCGTCGCCTCCTTCAGCTGTCTGCTCTATCTCTCACCCCATATGTTGGTGGAGTCACATGGGGAACCACAGCCAGAATCTGATCTGGCTGCTGCTTTGTTGTTATTCTACTTTTGGGGGGCAGCAGTTGTCAGCAGCAGACAGAAAGCCAGGCAGGGGGAAGCAGTGGGACTGAGGGTGGTGGAGGGCTGGGGCTTGCTCCTCCCACAGCAGTATTGGATTGTGATAAAGGAGAATTGGGAGGAAATCAGATAAGACCTGTGGGTTGAGATAAGAACAGTTTAATAATTGAAATAAAATAAAATATAGTAATAATTGTAATGAAAAGGGAGATGGAAAGTGAGAGGACTAAAACATGAGACAGAGGAGCGAGGTACCACACAGTTGTTCACCATCCACTGGCTGATGCCCAGCCTGACCTGAGCAGTGATCCACAGCTCCCAGCCAACTCCCCCAGTTTATATACTGGCCATGATGTGCTGTGCTATGGAATACCCCTTTGGCTAGTTCAGGTCGGGTGTCCTGTCTCTGCTCCCTCCCAGCTTCTTGTGCCCCTCCTCACTGGCAGAGCATGAGACTGAATAGTCCATGGTCAGGGTAAGCAACAGCTACAACATCCGTGTGTGTCAGCATTATTCTCATCCTGAATCCAAGTAGCACTGTGCCAGCTACGAGGAGGAAATTAACTCTATCCCAGCCAAAACCAGGACAATATGAAAATGGCAGCTTGAGGTTTCTGACCAGGTTCTCGTCTTCCCAGCGCCTTCATTTTCCCTAAGGAAATCATTAGAAAAGGACTCCAGCTTCTGAAACACTGTGAAATTGCACCATAGCCCCAGTGGCATTTTCACATTGTACCTACAAAGGGATTATGCAGGCTTTGCCGTGCAGAGGCTACTGAGTATTTGACACTGGTGCATTACCACGTTTTCATCCTGTAAGCAGTAACAGATCATTTAATTTTCTCATACAGTCATTCAGAATAAGAACATGTTCTGAATTGTGGTGTGCTACTTTACAGTTAACTTTGGTGATGTTTAGGGTTAGAGGGGATTACTAACCCTGTGGTGTAGCAGTAATTTACTGTGCCTTGAGTTCTGCAGCTAACACGTTATTGCTGTTCAGAAGCAGGTTTGATGCAGAAGAGGAATTTGTGCTTGTGAAAATCTGGTCAGCTGTGGAAGTAGAAATGATGAAGTGTGAGTTTGACTGTGAAGTGTAAAACCAGACCAGATGCCCCTGCCCCCAGTTCTGTACTTGGCAATGGAGAAGGGTGTTTGCCAGAGCTCATGAGTGCAGTGGGGTAATCGACCAGATGCAGCAGCACCTCAAGGCAAACAAATGTGCAGTGGGTGCATTAAACCATTACCTATGACCTGGGCAAGGGTGTAGTTTAAACAGTGATGCTAAAAATGGCACAGTATTGTGTGCTCTCATGAGGGTTGCTTAAGGAAGACGTTAAGCTTGGCTTACAAATGAAGCATTTTGCCTTGGAGTGCAACAGATTTAGCCTGGATTGAAATTGCAGTGAGATTATTCCCTCTGGATGGCTCAGTCTGTCACCCCATAATCAACACTATACACTCCCATGGGAATGTCTTTGGGCAAAAGGAAACAAAATGAACTGTTAATAGGTTTTGAGCAGTGCCTTTGCCTCTACCAGACTTACAAAGATATAATGGCTTAGAGATCTGTTAGAGTCTTGTCATTTGCCCTAGCAGGGACTTGGACTCAATCTCGGTGAGTGACCTCCACAAAAGGCACAAAAATAGAATGAAATGAAGCAGGAACTGCTGTGATTCTGGTGCAGAACACAGCAGAGTAGTCAAAGAGATTAATTCTGACATTGCTTAAGGGCAGAGTTGTTCTTAAACTTCAGCAATTACCTTTGAGGTAATCCTAATAACAATAATCCAAATTATCGGAAGTCCAGTGCAGAACCAGTGCTAAAATAACCTATTCCTAGTTGTCATTTCAGCTCTGATGTGACAGTGAGATGGCAAATTCCATTCTTGATGACTCTCAGCAGTCAAGTGAATCGTGTTTTACTGTTTTCATATGGATGCAAAAGGCTTCTTGTTCTAATTTCTTACCTTCTTCAAATTCTAGTTGTTGACCTCCTTTACTGGCGAGACATAAAGAAGACAGGAGTGGTGTTTGGTGCCAGCTTGTTCCTGCTGCTCTCATTAACAGTGTTCAGCATCGTGAGCGTGACAGCTTACATTGCCTTGGCCCTGCTCTCGGTGACGATCAGCTTTAGGATATACAAGGGAGTTATCCAGGCAATCCAGAAGTCCGATGAAGGCCACCCGTTCAGGTGAGAGTCTTCCTTTCGTTAACAAAAAGTGTGCTGTCCAGCAGCAGAATTGGTGCTGACAGGAGCAGGGGATGACATAGGCTGTAATATGTTGCATAATGATCTATATTGTGTGTACTGGAAAATGCCCAGCCTGTGACTCTTCCTCTTTCAGTTTTCCTCAGCAGGCAGACACGGTGGTAAAGAAAAGGAACTGTGTGCTTGGTGCAGGGGATTTCCCTGGGAATGTGCTGGAGCATCTTCAGTTGCATTGAAAAAATTAAATACTTCAATCTAGTGGAGTGATATAATACTCCATTAGAAGAAATACACAATACTTCCAGTGTATTTTAGAATGGGAGAGTCTTCGGAATGTGAACCAGTGGCAGATGACTAAATTTAGAAGAACTCCCAGGAGATGCAGCCCTTCCAGTACAATCTATTTAGCAAAAATCAGAAGAAATGCAGCAGGGGATACTTTTATTTTTTTGGAACTTTTCTTCTGAGTACTGCTGAAGTCTGTGGGGTTTGTGTAGCAGCATAGCTGTGTTCTCCACACGCCGGGCTGCCTTGTCACCAGCAGAATCCAGGTTCATTGCAGCCTGCCCAGGTCAGAAATCCAGAAACTTGGGTTCCAGATTCTATGGCTTCAGGAGTTGAATCATAGGATTAACTGAGGTCCTTGAAGAGGACCTCAGCTCTTTGCTTTAAGTGATGAGCTAAGTCCTTGGGGCGTCTCAAGCGTGCACATCCCTGCAGTGTGGGAATATGGGACCCATGGTATTCCTCCTTTCCTCTGTGGAGTGCAGTGGTGCCCGATGCTGCAGAGCTGCATCTTAAGAGAAACTTAACTAATGTGTTTCACTCCTAAGAGTGCCTGTTTCCTGTTTCCACACCAGCCCTGCCCCACGCTGCTCAGACCTGCTTCTCTCCCTTCATTAATCAGTGAAGCGGTTCCATCTCGCCTTCCCTTCCGCCTTTCTGGAACTCCTGCTTGCATTCCTATTTACAGCTCTTAACGAATTTTGTGCTGTTTCCAGTCATTCTTGTTCTCTTCCTCTCATCTTCAGTAAGGCAGAGGGGGGTTTTTTGGGTTTACCTCCATTCCTCCCTGACTCTGTGTGATGGCTCATTTACCCATGGAACCCAGCCTGTGCCTAAACCAGCTGAGGGACAAAACTCTGGGAAAGGAGTATTTGCTTTCAAGCTTAGATCTGCTACAGGATTGCATCTGAACAATTGGCAGCAGCATTCAGTACAGCAGTAGGAAATTCTCTCTGTTGTAAACTTAAGGTTTGGTTTAGCCCACCAAGGCCTTGCATGGCCCAGCTTATTCACCCACATGAGGGTGAATAATTCCCACCTGAAATCCTGTTTGCTCTGGCTACCCAGTGGTGCTGTTGGGTACCCAAACAGCATTTCCAGGTTTCCCAGTTCTTTCTTAGCAAGAAGAAGCAAGACTTGTTCTACCTGTGCTCTTACTGCAGTTTATTTCTAAAACCACTGATACTCATGAAGTTCCCAGACATTCTTGTCCCACATACTTGGCTGCTTTTTATCTGTATAGCTTCACCTATAAGGATGTTCTTACTTGAATTTAGACAGTGAAGAGCACATTCATGAGGTGGATTTAATTGTGGTTCAGGTACCGATGCTGATGAGTTGGGGAGGGTGTGCAGAGTGGAGCCAAGCATGGATAGAAGAATGCAGCCTTGAAATGGCTGCCAGCTGTAGTTACTGTTTGAAGTGTTTCATTTGTTTTGGACTTGCCACAAGCTGTGCTTGGCTTGGCCTTAAGTGACAGACATAGGAGCCCCAATGTGCATTTTTCAGCTTTTCACCCCAAATCAGAATCCCCCCTAAACAAAAGCTCAGTAACTGCAGTAACTATGATTGCCCTTTACAGATGTGTTGCATTGCTGCTTCTTCCTCCACCAGGCAAATTAGGTAAATTAATCTCTATTTGAAGAATCTAAATTGCTGGAGCCACTGCAACTACAGATGAAAGCCTCGGAATGGTAGAAAGGACACTTCCCCAGATAGGAGCTTATGTCTTTCTCTTAAAAGAACTGCTGTCGCTAACTGTAAGAACTGTTTTTAGCATTCCTTATACAGTGAGGTTTTTCCCTTTATAGGATTAAAAAGAACACATGTTGGTGTTATATATATAACATTTGTTGATACTGTTTGGCAGCACTCCTACAGTGAAGTTTCATAAGCTCTTCTTTCTTGCAGGGCTTACTTGGAGTCTGATGTAGCTGTGTCTGAAGAGCTTATTCAGAAGTACAGTAACGTTGTGCTTGGTCACATTAATGGCACAGTCAAAGAGCTGAGACGTCTCTTCCTAGTTGATGACTTAGTTGATTCCCTGAAGGTAAGTTTGCTCCAGTGTAGGTGCAGCAGCCTTGGGTAAATAGGTCCCCTGCTGACCCGGGTTAGCAAAGCCCACTAGTCCTCAGGAGCGTGGAGGAACAATAGCAGTTTTAGCGCTGTGTGAGTAAATAAGGAGGCTTTGTTTGGGTGTTGGAAGTAATGAGCCTTTTTGTTTGTCAAGAAGTAGAGCTTTCTGTTGGCCACGCTGAGCTGAACATCAAGTGCTGCCTGCAGTAACAGTGGATAACTTCAGCTCCACTTCATTTTGCCAGTATAATAATAACGAATGGAAAACTAACATAATCCCTGGCTGCGTGTAGCTTGGTCTGACACCTCTCTGGTGCTGAACAGCAGAAATCTGCTGCTTTTAGTCCTGCAAATCACTGAAGTGGGGTTTGCAAGTTACTGTACCTAAAGCGTGCAGTGCTGCCCAACGGATACCTTCGATAGCTCCAGGTAGCACTTTACTTATTAGAGGTGGCAGAGCAGAACTGGCAGTGCATAATAATGATAGAATTGGCTGCAAACCCTTCAGTTCTGGTCTGTGAGGATTATATTCCCTCCTCTCAAGCTAATAGTGTTTCTTTGTTTTCAAACAGTTGTTTCCTTTACCAAGTACAATGTGTTGTCCGCTTCTTTCTCAGTTTGCTTAATCTTCTTGGGGAAAAGTAAATCCCTTACTCAGTGCTTTGTAAAGTCCTTTGAGTTGCTGTGGGGATTGGGGGAGGGGGGAGGAAAAGGAAGGTTGTAAAGTCTTTGTTAGGTTTGTGCCATAGTAATGGGAGGCGGAGCTGAGGATCTTACCCAGAGTTTCTGATCCAGTTCCTCATTGTGCTCCGGCTTAAACAGAGTTTGTGCTGGAAAAGTTGCACCTGATGCAAGTCTCCTGCAGTGAGTCCTGTCCCTCTGGAGACAGGGGAGGTGATGGGGCTGTGGGGTTGTTACCTGGGCTCTGCTGTTCATGACAGACTCATTTCCTCCAAAGGGAAGAGGAGATGGGACATTAGCCCTGGGTTTTGATGTGTTTTGATGGCTAAATGAACACTCTCACCACTGCCCATCAGTCTGGGCTGTATGAAGCTGCCTTTCACCTTCATGCTTAAGGGACTGAGTACTTGGGATTCATCTCTGGAGCATCTCAAGGCCACAGCCTTGAGAATTACTGTTACACAGCTAGAAATGCATTTGATAACTTGGTGTGTGAGGGAGGGAAGGAACATGCTCTCTGTCTATTGTGGGTTTTTTTGAGGGCATTGAGTTTCATTGTTCAAAGGAAGGTTACTTTGCTGAAGTCATGTTCAGATGTGACTAAACACCAGCACGGGAAAACAAGGTCACTTGTATTTCTTTAATAATTAAGCCCTTTGTGATACGTTCCTTCATCTGGGTTATAAGAGTTGTTTAGAGAGATCCCAATCCCTGCAGGGAAGGAAAAGGAAGCAGTGGACGGACAGCCAACTGCTGTTTCAGTTGACACTGTTTAGAAAATCAGGCCTTGCAGAGGGATTATGTGGGAAGCAGAATTAATTCCAGTCAGAATGCCTTCAAGGCACTCCGATCACTTCTAAAACACTGTGGGCTATAGGAAAGACATGTTTATTCAGCTCAACTAATTCATTTCCCCCCTCTTCTGACATTTAAAACGTTTGATGTAGGTTAATGAGTCTAATTTATGGTAGTTGGGAGCAAACCCTTATCTGAAACCAGCGAATGTCAGGACAGTTCACGAGCACAAGTTACTGATTTGAAGAGTCTGTGCTCGAGGAGATGATGGAGATGCTGGGGTCTAAGGGAATACAGCAGCAGCCTTGGTTAAACACGAAATAGAAATATCTTGGCTCGTGTAGTTTAAACATCTTCACTGTAGGAAACAGCATGTTTGTGTATAATTAGAGAGCTTTAATGCAGAAAATGTCTGCGGGTCAGGTTATTGTGTGTAATAGTCCTGGCTGTAAAATCCGTCTTGTTAAGCATTTTCTTTCTTTATTAAACAATGCTTCAGTCATGGAGGTCTTAAAACGGACTGTAAATATTTAGGCAGCACTCTCGGGAGGAGCAATTCCAGAGGAGCCTTTGCCAGGGAGCTCGGGAGAAGCTGCACTTTGTCCTGCTCAGCAGCAACGTGCTGCCGCAGCCGTTGGCACCGGGCAGCTGGTGCTTGGAGAGGCTGAGCTCCTTGCTGCATTTGAACCATTTTATACTAAACAAACTGATACATGGACATCCCTGGATTTGCCATTAAATCGTGGTATGCTTTGGGTACTGGGGAGTTAGGAATCATTGAGTGAGGGAGGCAAAACCTCAGCGCAGACCCATGGCATACACTGGGGTTCGCTGGTGTGCAGATACTAACGCTCAGGCTGAGCTTGGGCCTGGTGCTTTCCCTTGGTCCTGAGCATGTGGGAAGAGCAGCATTATCTTTGTAGGTCGATCGTGGGCTGCCTTCTGCTTTCTTTTTCATCTCAGAGCTTTAAGTGCCTAGACGTGTCCCAGGTAAGCCTTTCTGCATTCTCCTTTCTAAGGAGAACAACAACCAGACACCAGTATGTAAAGGTGGGTTGAGATCAGCGCCACTTAATCCCCGAGCAGTGTTTTAACTGACAGAAGTGTGTGAAGAGAGGGGGAGGAGTTGTGGGAGGAGAGTCTGAGGTTTTGGCTGCACTTCATTTGCTTTGGTATCCCCAGTTTTCCAGTTAGGTGTCTTGTACGGACATGGTAGAGGAAGGTGGTGTTGTGGGGCTCAGTGGTTCCCACTTCCACCCAGTATGAGCAAGCGAAGGGGATTACAAGCTGCACGTGCAGTCACGATGCTGCTCAGGGCAGGCCTTCAGAGGAGCAAAGCCCGTGTCAGCCAAACATTAACTCCTGGATTTTGATCTTTCTTGGACCATGAATTCAGTGCTTACTGAATAGGACTGGATAGTGCTGATAATGGTTGGACTTTGGGATTGATTCATGCAGTTACCTTCTGCATTTTCTGACTTGGTCCTAGTCATCAGCAGCATCACTCAGAGCTCACCTCATGGGTGGTTCTCCACCAGCCCCCTCCTGGCTCCATCCTCCTGTCAGGCAGTTGCAGAGAGCGATCAGGTCCCCCCTGAGCCCTCTCCAGACTAGTGGATGGATGGCTGCAGGATGTGTGTGCTTGGAAGCTGGCACCTTCCGTATACGGAACACAAAGCCTGCAGGAAAATCATCCTGGATGATCACAGGCTTGGGGGTCTTTCTGCTGTACTAGAAGTTGCTGACGTCCTTCCCTTCGCTGGGCAGGGGGATGTCCTGTGTGTCCAGACTTGCTGTGCAGGGAGAGCATTGGCTCTGCTGAAGTCTCTTGTGCAGAGGCTGGCAGCGGCGCTCGCCCTGACATTGCAGAGCAGAACTGGGCCAAGGTTTGAATGAATCATGAGGGAGGCTGGAGCAATGAGCTGTGTTTTGCTTGATAACCCTGCCAGAACCCTTCAGTCGATGGCAACATCAGCCTTGCCTGCGGGGTAACTGTGCTGCGGGCGCTGCCTGCGTCACACCAGGGAGGAACTGAGAGATAAGAACTGCATCGTTCGCAGTTCATCCTCCTGAAGTTTCAATGGGATCAGCTGCTTTGAATGAAGCTCCTGAAGTAACTTCAGTTTGTTACAGGGGTCACACAGTTAAACTTGTGTTGATTGTCGAGCCCTTATCTTGCTGGTGGCAGTTGATCTTGTTTGGTTTGGATAGTTTACATCTTAGGATAAGCTAAAATTGGATGTTTGGATAAGTAACTTGAGTGTGACTCAGCAGCAGGGTAGATCCTTGCCCACTCCTACAGGCCTTCAACATGCAGCTTTTCTTTCCAGTGCGTTGTACCCACCTTCTCCTCACCTTGGTCTCCTGCTTATCAGAGTGCTTCACCTTCACTCAGTAGATTCATACAATCAAAGACCAGTTTGGGTCGGAAGGGAGCTTAGAGCTCGTCCAGTTCCAGCCCCCTGCCACGGGCAGGGGCACCTTCCACTGGCTGTTCAGTGTCTTGCACACAAAACAAGCCGAGTGCTCAGGAGATGAAGGGTTGGGAGGTCTCTGCACAAGCCAAGTGTGATTCCGTGTGTACCCAGAGCCAGGCACTGGTAAATCCGCTGTTGGTGACACCCAGGCCCTGGCTTCTGCTCAGCTCCTCGGGGGCTCTGCGACACTGTAAGAATTGGGCTGCTTCTCCTTGCGGAGGAGCCCTGCACAGAAATAGCGCGGGCTGCCTCCCCCGCCATAGGTCAGAGGTGTGCTCGGGACACGCTCCACCTGGCTGGAGCACGGGGGCCCCAAAGCCCCCTTCTTCGTGCAGGGCGAGCGGAGGAGCTGTGCGAGTGCCCTCAGTGGGTGCTGGGGCGAAGCCAGCAGTTACAGCGGTGGTGAGGGGGTTTAGGTGTCTGTGAACAGAAGGGACATCTTTGCTTCTGAATTTGCCTCCGACTTGGAGCCGGCTTCCATTGCCTGGCGCTGTTGACTCCTCAGTGAATATTTTAGCACCCAAACCTCCTGCTTTTTAAAGGGAAAAGTCCCTCAACCCAACCTTGCCGTGTACCTCCAGAGAGGTTTGCCTCCAGAGGTGACAGAAACCTGCCTACCCTGGTCGGTGTTCACTGGGACCTTTGCTGAGCCAGAGCGTGACTGTGATCCGTGGGTGCTTGGATCCTGCTGGGCTGCTACACCAAAAGCTGACCGGCTTCTGGCTCTGCCACACACCAGCCCCCAAACCTCACTTCCTTTCCTGTTCCATCACTTTGGAGGGTGGGAGGTAGGAGCTGCATTTGCCCATCACTGTTTAGCATGGATTTGGAAGTGCTGGATGAGGCAGAGGGTGTGGAGCAGCCATCGGGTACTCCCAGCTTGTGGTCACTGCTGACTTGGGCTGAATTCAGCCCATGACCCAGACCTCATGTCTCGTTACTGAGCCCTTCAGCCTTCTTGTCACTCCTCTCTAATTACATGAGACATCCAAGGGTGAAGGGGGTTTGGGGTGTTCTAGCTGGAGGTGTGTGGTTGAGGCTCTGAGCAGTGTGTTGTGGGGAGGCCGTGGGCTGACACGCTGTTTCTCTTTTCAGTTTGCAGTGTTGATGTGGGTGTTCACTTATGTTGGTGCCTTGTTTAATGGTCTGACATTGCTGATTCTGGGTAAGTGTTTGAAACCACGTTCAGTACGTAACCCGGGGAAGCACGGAGGTCTGCTGGGCCCCGTGGGGCTGGTCCTGTGCTCTGGAGCACGCAGCAGGATGCGGTAGCTCGGTGTCCTTTCTCTGGGGCGCTGATAGCACTGGAACAGATCATTTTGAACCGTGTTGTTGTTAAACCAGCAATCTCGGGGAACTCAGGCATTGTATCGTTTGAAGGCACATTCCCTTGTGCTTGTCCCTGTCGGGGTTAGCCGGGGGCTCTGGGGGAGGTAGCGGCTGGCTCTGCCCCTCGCCCATGGAAGGCAGTTTTGTTTCTTGTGTCCCAGAGCAGAGCTTGGAACCCAACTGGCCCTGGCAGAAGCCGAGGCATCCCCTTTGAAGAACGTGCATAGCCCACAGTGACCACTGAGGGTACTGTGCATGAGCCCTGGAGACCAGCCTGGCTTCTCCTTTATAGGGTGGTTGAAATTAGCAGCCGACTGTTTGTGTATGTGGCTCAGTTATTTCTTGTGCCTTTAGGAAAGCGAAGGCAAGGTGTGGAAGCCAGGGTTTGTGTTACCTGAACACCCGCCCTTCTGTCAATATTTATACCTCGGCTTTGCTCTTTTCCAGCTTTGATCTCGCTCTTCAGTGTTCCTGTTATTTATGAGAGACATCAGGTGAGTGTTTGATGTGATTCATTAAGTGCTTCACAAAATTGGCTCTGTTGAAGCAACACCACAAGTGAATAAACCAAAACTCAGTCCAATCTGCTAAAATCTTTAAAGCCTTTACGAAGCAGATAGGCCTTTAGCCAGGGGGCAGTGCCAGCGAGGTCAGGTTCACTTCGGAGCCCGGCTGCGTGTGCTTTCCCTCCTCCCTTTCGGTGGCAGCATGGGAAAGCTTCCCCAGCAAACAGTTATGGCAAAGGCCTGATTAACCTCCTGTGCCCTGATCCAGCTTTGGGCAGGACCAAAGCAGCGGCGCGGTGCATTAATCCTGCGGGAAGCACATTGCTGCAGAACCCTCTTTGGAGCTGATATTCAGGGTTCACAGACCCTGTGGAATCTGTACTTGTGGCAAAACCAGGAGGCGGGAGACGCTCGGCTCCGTCCGGCGCTTCTCCTGGGGGGAGACGAGTGTAAAAGGAAGAGACAAGAAGGAGCCGGAGTAAGACCTGTTCGGTTCAGTGCCAGCCGGGCGGGAGCAGGGGCTGCCCGCCCCAGGTCACAGCGCAGGAGGGGGCAGCCAGCCCTGGCTTAGCAGTTCCTTCTCCTCTTTCACAAACAAGGCTGCTCGGGGACAGGGGGGGAACCTGGGGCTTGGGGAGGGAGCAGAAAGGCTCAGAGCAGATGGTGGAGCCTCCTGCGAGCTCCTAGGAGGGAGCAGGGTGCTCTGCAGGGAGAGGAAACCCTGTGGCCGCGGGAAGGATGAGAGGGACAAGTTGTGTGGCTTAACCCGGGCTCCACAATCCTCTTGAGGGGCTGAGGGCTGCTCTCCGAGGGTGTAAGCGGGTTACCAGGCCCGGCCCACCTAAGCCGCTTCCCTGCTCCGTGGTGGTGTCCGGAGGTGCCGGGCGCCCAGGCTGGTTGTGCACCCCCATGGTGGCCGTGAGCTGGGGTGGGGAACCACTGGTGACTGCTCTAGAAGACAGGGGTGGGTTGATGTGGGCACTTGCTCCCCGTTCCCAGGGCAGACACTAGCACGTGCTGTGGCTGGAGCCACGGGCCCTCTGGCATCGAAGTGGGACGTGGCCCACGGGTTGTGTGGTGGGCTCCGCAGCGGAGTACCTGTGAGAGCTGCCTGTAACATCTGTCATCTTCGATTTCAGGCCCAAATTGACCATTATTTGGGACTCGTGAACAAGAATGTCAAAGATGCCATGGCTAAGTGAGTAAAATGTCACTTCATAAATAGCAGTTAGAGTTCTTGGTACCTGTGGTGCTCCTGTGTAACGAATGCACTATGTGCACTAGTCCTGGGTGGAAGAAGTCCTTTGTTTAAACTTGGAATGGTTACAGAATCAGCTCGTTTCTTGCTGATGCTCCTAAATTAATCCTGTATTACTTAGAAATCTGCGTATTTCAACCCATCAGAGAAACCCGGGGCCCTCAGCAGTTGCAGCTGAGGGGGGAATGGAGAAGAATTGAGCTGTCTCATTGGGTTTTATGTTGCTGTGAGCGCTGTCTTGGCGTGGTGCTGGTTGAAGACTGTGTGTTTCACACCTCCTGCTTTTCGTTCCTTACTCAAATGCTGTTCTGTTCCCTCCCGCAGGATCCAAGCAAAGATCCCTGGGTTGAAGCGCAAAACTGAGTAAAAAGCCTGAAGCAACTTATCGATAGGAAGTTCATCTTTAAAGGGGGGAAAAAAATTACTCATTTGGATTTACACGGGGAGGGTCAGGGAATAGCAAACCCCTTGACATTGCAGTGCAATTTCACAGATCTTTATTTTTTAGCAACGCAGTGTTTGAGGAAAAACAGTAACTGTTTTGACTGCCATGTGTTTCATCATCCTAAGTATCGTAAGCTGCTATGTATGGATCTAAACTAATCATCTTCCTCTATCCTGTGTGCAGCAGCACTGGCTAACCCAAGAGTTGAAAGCTGTACATTTTGCTTCGTCAGCGGTAGTCCCTGCGGCGTTCCCGGGTAGTGCGGGTGGAGCGGAGGCACTGCAGTGTGTGCACGGTGTATGGTCTGTGTAGGTTGATGCCCATTTTCTAAACTGAGATGTTTTAGAAGAATTATACCATTTTAGCAAGTTTTGAAAACAAATCTTGCCTTTTTGGTATGAGTATAGCTGTATTGTGATTTTATTGTTTTATCAATTGCCAATATATATATAAATATATATATATGTGTTTCACAAAGCTTAGATCTTTCAGCTGCTCCACAGTGCTTTGTACTTCAGAGAATTGACTGGTGGCTGGACTAGCTCTGCAGCACACAAGCTTGAAACCCAAACTGTCTGTGTAAACACTAGCCTCTGTTTAAAACAAACAGCGAGAGGGGGATGAAGGAAGGAACCTCCACATACACCTACAGAAAAAGACAAGCGTACACTTTGTGGCACAAACGTACAGTAGTTGGTTCTGAGCAAATAATTCTACATCTCTCAAACTCTGATAATCTGTGGACTGAGTATCTGATGCTGCAAATGTTGTTGGGAAACGTAAAACCTTGTTATGCGAGAAGTAAGTGAGAATTTCTACACTTGCAGTTTAAGCTGTATTGAACTAAGTCTGTGGAATGCATTGTGAAATGTAAAAAAACCCAACAAAAAGGCAAAAAAAAACCCCCAACCAACCCAAACCCCAAGTATCAATAAAGCTTCTAGACAGAAACTGTTGGCATTTTGCTTTCTTGAGGCAAATTGAATCTATTTGTGTTTATTTTGTTGAAGCTCATCGTGATTAAATATCCATTGTACATGGTGGTGGCAATAGTCTGTCAGACGTAGGGCGATGTGAGTACCTGTTCTTCCCGTCCGTGCAGTGTGAAGCAGTTTGCTCAGTTCCAGTTCCAGGGCTGTCATTCCTGATGGCTCACGTGGTTCTTGTCACCCAGACTCTTGCCTGTGGCTCCGGTTGTTGCCGCCACTCGAGTGTTATGAGTTGGGTGTTGAAAATGGTGAAGGAGACATTTAAGACCCTGCTAAGCCAAACGAAGGTCCTTGGTTTGCTTTAGAGACAATTAGTGTGTGATGCCACAGTCTGCTTGGGAGGACACTGGAAAGCAAAAGTCTCAGTGATCTTTCCAGATCAACTTGTTGAATCTGATTTAAGAGCTGGATGCTGAAAACTTGTACCCAGATTTATCTGGGACACAGATTTGTAGTTAATGGCATCCTGACCATTGGAAAATAAATCCATGCACTAGGGCTTTAGTTTACAGTATCGCATGTGGTGACTTACGGATGTTTTGTACGTAAAGCCAGACCATAGAAACATACAAATTTAAGTGTTTACCTGACAGACACTATTGCTTTAAGCTACTTTTCACATCACCATTGATTAATTCATTCTGGTTTTATCGGGATACAATCCATGTGGAAGGAAGGCAGAGAAGGTGCTCGCTGACATCACCACCTGCCAGGATTACATCATCTCAGCAAGGAGGTGTTGCTAGAACAAGGACTGCATAGGGCCGTGTTGTGTATCTGACAAACTGATCTTCTGTGTAGTGATATAAGGCATTAATTAATAAATTCAATTTTAAAAAAGGTGATTCTTTGAGGTTGCTGAAGCACGTTTGTGTGGTACGTGTACATCGATCCACTCCTTCAAGTGGGTGTTGCACCCACCAGCCTCCTCTTTGCGCAGGGGGTGTCAGAAGTGGGTGGTCAGGAAGTTCCCCCAGTTCAAAAAGGTGTTGCCCTGACCTGGGGCTAAAGCACTGTATTTATTTAACACTTCTTTTCAAACACTAAATGTAAGTCTATAAACGTTTTAATTTGGCCTTTATTTCTTTGATTAACAAACAGTCTTTTTACAAGAAAGGTGGTTTCAAAATACAGACATTGTTCCATGCCCGAAATCTTTTGCCGTTGCCCACGCTTCCCGTTCCTTTCCAGCCACTTTCATTGGAAAAAGTTAAGTTTAACTTTTTCCAATTCCCCTGTCCCTGGAGTTTTTGGTTTTGACAAAATACTTGTTAAGAAGCACTGAAGGGCTTTACTTGCCTTTTGTGGACCCCTGCTCGTGGCCTGCTGTGCTCTCCTCTCCCAGATCCCACAGCCCAGTCCCACAGGAGTGGTGATAATGGGAACAGGAGTGCAAACTGAGCACAGGGGATGCTTTTCTCAAGGACAGGTAAATGTTCTGGTATGGGAGGGGTTTCTGTTCTACTCACAAGCGGCAGGGACGGGTGCCTGGTGGAAGCCACAGGCTGGCCCCATGGGCAGTGCCAGGCGTTCCTTGGGATGCCTGCAGGAATTCCCTCCTAGCACAGGGGGAATGGGCAGCAGTGACTCCCAGAGGCTTCCACACCATTAATACAGTGGATGGCCCCTGCCTGCGGAAGCAGTTACCTTTAAAGCACAGTTTCCGACAAACAGGGAGCGTAGGAACACGTTGGGAACAGCTTCCTCACTGCTGGTCTCTTTAACCAAGCCTCTCCCCCACTACTCACCGTTTGAGTTAAGCTTCACATTCCAGCTGTGGTCGCGCTACCATCATGCACGTTGTGAACAGTTTACCAAGAGGTGTAATGCCATCAGGAATTTGTCCTTAGAACAGCACAGAGCTGCCTCTGTCGGAAACATTTAGGAATTCACTTGTGAAGGTGTTGAAACCCAAAGCAGAGAACAGGGACAATGGACGTAAGTACACAGCTGGAAAAGGTGGTGATGGTTAGCCCTCCTCTGTGTGAAAGTTATAGCACCGTATGTTGAAAGCAAGTGGTGGGAGGCAAGGCTGTAGCCCGTACTACTAGAAAACTATTCAAAGGCACTTCATGGATAGAAAAATTTGCCAAATATATATATTTAAAAATAAGATGGACTTAAAAAAAATGATACTTTGCTCCTTCGCTCACTGACAGCTGGAGCGTGACCCCAGCGCGCCCGCTCAAAGCCTGCAGCTTTACTCGGTGCACCAAATGTGAGTTTTAAGCAGGTGTGGTTAAAACCCCACCAACTTCCTTGAACAAATCAAGCCATAAATTTTGAAATGATGCAAATTAAAGGGCTCAGCGTTTTCTCCGTGTGCTCCCTTCTCAGGCAGGGTTTGGATAACACAGTATTAGGCAAAAGCAGCTTTGTGAGTGAACCGTTCATCACTTTGGCCTACCCGGGTTACAGAAGGATTCCCTTTCAAACGTCTTCCTTCGCGGGGATATTGGTCTATCAACGCAAGGTCACATTCAGTCAAGTCTGTGAGTAACTGGGAGTGTCTCCGTGCAGCATCGTCGGGGGGAGGTCACAGCAGCCGCAGGGCTCGAGGCGTCGTGGCTGTCCAGGCTGGCGCAGTCACTTGGCGGTGGCAGTAACAGCAGCAAGGAGAGGCTCCTTTCAAAGGCAGCGCCACACAAACACACTGCAGGGAAAGGGAGTGAGGCAGCGCTCACGGACCAGCACAACATACACCAGGAGGGGCTGTGTGTTAAATACACACACAGATCCAGCTGGGGCTTATCAGCCACATGCCAGGGGAAGCATCACAGAGCTGTGGGGTGACTGGGATGCGCATCCCTTTCTCAGGAGAGTGAGTTACAGGATCATAACCAGCTCCTGCCTGTGTGTTCGGTGAAGGCCTGGGAATGCCATTGCTTTACTCTGTGTAGTTACACTTTGAATCACGAAAGCCTCATCGTAACTACTGCCAAACAGCCAGTAGCAGCTGATGAGCTTTTCTGAGTTTATGTAACTTGTGTCCTGCAGGGTGAGAACAGAGGTAAATGCAGCCTTTGTTCCCATGCAGCTGCTTTGTGACGTGACAGAGCTTCCTGCTCCCTCTGTGCAACCCCTTTCTCAAAGCAAAACACTTCCTCCTTTTCCTCTTCCCCCTCTCTTATTCTCCCTCCCCTTTCCTCCCCCCCGAAAGTGGAAAATGAAAACATCTATTTGGGGGGTGGTCCTTTATTTGCAGCATGATTGCACAAAAAAAAATGGATGCTAATTTGGAAGAACAACCCATCTTGTGCAGTGAGTTAGTTCAATTGAGTGCAGGGCGTTGAACCAGTATCTGCTGCAGGCTTCCTGCAGGGAGCAGGGAGCCTGGAGTCAGCAAACATACATCAGTATTTAGGTCTCTGCTTCTGGAAAGCAGCAAAGTCAATCCTGCAGTCTCTGGCTGGCATTTTTCAAGTTAGTTATAAATACCTGCTTCTTGACTGCAGCGCTCTGACCCTTGCTCCTTCAGGATTTGTGCCCTTTCATTTCCTACCTTGTTGCTTTTCAGTGAAAAAAGCACTTTTCTTAAAAAAACCCACTTTTTTTCTAGTTCTACTTTGTGCTGTTTAAAAGTCTCTCATTGTTCGTGTCTTACCACATTTAGTTTTTATGCCTCACCCTCTGCTCCCTGTCTTGCTCAGCAGTTGTGTCCTCTCTGAGCAGTACTGGAGCTCAAATTAAACATGGGGAGTGAGGGTGGAGGGGAATCTGCCTGGAATCACACACGTGTGTGTGTGTGCATTTACTGTCAGTCCTTTCAGGGAGAAAGAAAACCCCACCCAAAACACCCCACCTCAAACTTCAGGCACCTTTTGCGAAGCCTCCTGCTATTTGAAATGTCTTTCTAAATCTGTCCATCCTTGTGTTTGGCCGGAATTCCTGTCCTACCCTTTGCTGGGCAGGAGCTACTCAGTTATTTTTGTGTGACTGACACCCCACCACCTGTCTTTGAGTGCTCTGAGTGTTCCTCAGACACACGTGTGGTTCCTGTGCCAGCCGAGGCTCCTTCTGCTACCTCTTGGTGCCCAAAGCCTCAGAGCTGGGTGCTGGCCACTGCGGTGCCAGGTCTGCTCTGCCTCTGCCCACAGGGAGGAGGCAAAACAAGGAGCTAGAAGCAGATGCTGCTAAAGACAGGAACCCAAATGCAAGATGTTTTACCTAGTAGAGATCACCTTGTGAGTGGTGCCAGGATGGCAGGATTTGGGTGCAAGTCACCCTAAAATACAGCAATTCCAGAGTTAGAGACACAAGCTAAAGCTGTCACCTATCAGCAGGCTTCGCTGTGGGTTTGGTGCTGAGGGGTGCACACAACATCTTGGGTCATCTCCAGACTAAATGAGGCCTCACCTGCAGTCGTCTCCTCCCGTACTGATCACGTACTTGTCGTCGTGAGAAAAGCGGATGTTGGTGACATGAGCAGAGTGCCCGAAGTACCGCTTGTGCTTGGCCTGTGGGGAAGGACACACAGTGGCTGGTACAGAGCTGCCCCGTGGAGCTCCAATCCCACCCCAGCAGTAGCGGTGCTCTGAGCCCACAGTGACCCCAGCTCGGTGCTGTGTGTTCCTCCCTCCCCGGTTCTGGATGGTGGCTACTCCACCACCTGCAAGCTGCTCACCTGGGGACACCCAGCGCCCACGCTCCTGCAGCCAGTCCTGCTTGGAGCCGGCCCACTGGACCCCACATGTGGATGCCTTAAAACCATGCACCAAGGAGTCTGAGCATGGGGAAGATGAAGCTGTTCAGACTGAAGTGAAATATCCACTTACAAATTTTTCTGTGCATGGGAAATCAAACAGTTTCACCAGCCCAAAGTCGTCTCCTGTGACTATGTTCAGGCCAGCATGGGTCACACATGCACAGTTGACATCTGCTTTATCTGCATTTCGTGGCCAAATTCCAATGACTTCGTCTCCAAGAATGCTGTTCCAAAAACAAGTTAGAAAAAAGAGCATTAGACCATAAGACTTACTGGCTGCTTCTCTCTTCCACAGCATGGGGAGACAACACAGCCCAGTGGTAAATAATTGCTGCCTTTTAGAATAGTCTTTCCCCTCTAAATCATGGCACTGAACGTGATCTCATCACTAGAATACATCTTCTTTGTGTGACTCACAAAATCACCTCTAAATCTAACCCCTCTATCCATAAATGCTGAGGTTTACCTTCTGTGAACCACTCTCATCATTTTATACAAGCAGCTACAGTCTCCTCTTTTCCTCATGGACGTGCAGGGAACCTCCCACAGGGATTTTTGACAGCAATGTTCTCTTAGCTGTAAGTTGTGGAATGAGGGGATGCTTATTTGGATGTAGAGCACTTCCTAAAATACCTGTTCTTCCCTTAGATTAAGCTCCTTTATAATCATTCCTATTTACCTGCACATTTATCGTCAGATGTGTCTGCCCCACTCCCACAGTCTTGTCAGGAGTCCTTAGGAACAAGTAATTTGTGGCAGATCCTTATGCTTGGTAGCAGAGCAGTGGGAGTAGGAGGATTCTCACTTACCTTCTCCTCGAACCACCCCTATTACCACGCGCTCAGATCTCAGATCTGCTTTTGGCCTGTTCCACTTTGCACAGTAAGAGCACAGTCACAGTTTTGTAACCATGTTGGGAAGGCCCCATATAAACCCATGTCAGTGAATGCATTTTAATGATACCTACAACTCCTTCCTTAATACAACCAGCTGCTGTTTCCATGCCTCCCGTGCTGCTTGTGTTTGTTGGTGTGGGATAAGGTAGTGCCTGCACCAGTGTGCCAGTGAAAGCAGAGCTTGAGGTGGTGCAGAGCCCTGTGAGGGCAACAAGCCACTGTGGCTGTATGATAGCCCTCAGCATTACTGCAGTAATAGTTACTACAGGCTCCAGCCAGCTGCAAATGGGCTCTGGTAGGTGTGCCAAGCCCTGGGGAAATTTCAAGCCTTTGGTTTACACAATCTGACCTTCATTCTGCATTAGACCTGCCCCAACCAGGCAGAACACTGCTCTTTAGTGTTTTACCTTGTCCATGTGGCCCAGGTGATCTTCTCTATCAATGCAGGATCTGTTATCTGCTTCCCTAGTGGCACCTCGTGCACTTGACGTTTATAGGCACCTGTTGATACCTGAGAGCAGGAAAGGAAAAAGCTGGTAATTTTGCCATAAAGAAAGGCAGCATTCTCCAGACTTACATGATCTCCAGCAGTAACAGGCTCAACAAGTAAAATTTCCTTTTCCATAATTAACTATAATTATATGCAGTATGAAGTAATAACTGTGTTGTTACAGGATGATAACTGAACGAGGTGTTCATGCACATGCTGCACAGTTGGTAGATTTCCTTCCAGTTATGTACTCTGGCTTATCTCAACCCAATTTTACTAAATCACAGAAATGTCAGAAGCAGACCTCACGTATTAATGCCCATCCTGGGGAAAGGGAGGAGGAGAACTGGTTCTTTATTGGTATAATCCACAATTTCTTTGCCAGTGTTGTAGCCTTTCCCTTGAAACAAGACAACACTTTTCCTTTAGCACACTAATAATCTACTGAGGTGGCCTGGTTTTGACTGGGATACAGTTAATTTTCTTCTCTGCTCATGGCAGCGGGTTAAACCTCGGTGTAAATGAACTGAGCTGTGTTGTTGCTATGGGCAGAGATGCAGAACCCGGGGGAAGACCTGAGTATTTAGAAAGAGGACTATTGGGCCCTATGAACATTCTAAAGGCAACCCGAGTTATCTGGCCTACCCTGGGAGACTTAGAGGCACCCTGAAGTTCAGAGCAGCTTCGGAAAGCTTCCCTCACCCTTTGTCACCTCCATATTGTTCCTGTGTCTGATGGCAGGAAGTCACACCAGATACAACCAAGCAAGACATACCTGAATGTACCTGCTGTCTGCAGAGAAGTCCATCTGTATGACGAAGCTTGCGATGTCTTTGCAGTAGCCTATTCGGTTCAGGGTTGTACCCTGAGTGAGATCATAAAAATCCACAGTATGTTCTTGTGAACCCACTGCCAAAAACTTGTTATCTGGGCTGATCCTGCGCAGTAAAACATGGAATGGGGATGTAAGTAAGTCACTGTTTCTCTGAAAGATCTTTCTTTGCTTCTCATGTTAATAAAAGAGAACAGATTTCTTTTACTGGAAAACAACTAAAACTTTCTATCAACAGCAGGATTAAATCCAAACCAAACCTTGATGCTCAGCAGATGAGGAAGATGGAGGATACTACATGTAGTTAACTGATGTTAATGCATAAAGCACACAGCACAATGTGCAGAGTAACTCTACTCCTCTGTGAGAAAGCAACAGGAACTGCAATTTTAAAGTGGTCTGTGATATTAATTCCCATAATCCCAGCTCCACAGTGCACAAATTCCTAGTGGATATAACTAAATTAATCCCAGGAATATGCAAGATATGGTCTATAAGGCACATAAATTTTACATGTATGTGTATATGTAAAGGTATAAAATAGGTATATATAAAGCAAGTAGTTGGCCAGTAAATCCATTTCATGATGTCAGTTTTCAGCCAATATGGAGTTATAAGTAATGTGAACATCAGCGTGGAACTTGACCACCCTTTTCTTGAGTGAGGGCTGTGCTTCAGCTCAGATTCTGACCTACCTGATATCCTGAATGGCAGATTTCCTGTCTCGCTTCTTGCCCCACACCTTCAGGCTGTTCACAAGCAAAACCACAAACTCGCCGTTCTTCATGCCAATGGCGACCATGTCACCGTCGGGGCTGTACGCGGCGCAGCGCGCGGGGTGGCCCAGGTTCACTTTGTTCAGCAGTTTCTGTGTTCACAAGAGCAAGAGGCTCAGCCCTGCCCTGGGAGAGCCCCCAGCCAAGGGAGAGCTCCCAAACACACGGGCTGGAAGGCCCCGACTGATTAAAATCAAATTGTCCAGAGTGTCCTCTAAATAGAAACCTGACATTTCACATCAAAAATCACATCCCACCAGGCATGTGCCACAGGACAGACTGCAAAAGAGAGGTGAGGCTCGGATGGGAGGTTCGTGTGTGCTCGTGTTGCAGGGTCACTTCAAGTTTGACACCAGAAGGGACACTATTTGTCAGAAAAGGCTGGAAAATCAACTTGCCATTTTGTGTGAAAGGTGAGTTTGGTAGTTTCTGCAGCTGCTGATCAGGGCAGGGGTTCCGTTTGATTTGCTGTGTGAAAACAAACTAGAATGCTCTTGCATTTTCACCTATCTGACTGGATTTATAATCTATTCATTTTCCATATTAAAAATGATCCCTGTTAGCTCAGGTAACTGCATTTCGAACAGGGTTTTGTAGGCTTCCACAAGCAGAAACCTCTCTGTTACTCTTTAAAAGTGTTTAATTTATTTGTTATTTTTAAAAATTATTATTGTTATAAAATTTGACTCAGAAAAAAAAAGATACCCTGGAATACACAACAACATCCAGCCTGGCCTTGAACACTGCCAGGGATGGGGCAGCCACAGCTTCTCTGGGCACCCTGTGCCAGCGCCTCAGCACCCTCACAGGGAAGAGCTTCTGCCTTATATCTAACCTAAATCTCCCGTTTCAGTTTGAACCCATCACCCCTTGTCCTACCACTCCAGTCCCTGATGAAGGTCCCTCTCCAGCATCCTTGTAGCCCCCTTCAGATACTGGAAGGACTGGAAGAACGTGACTGGTTCTAAAGAAAGGCTCTAGGGAGGAGGGAGCCATGTGGCCAGCAAGACAAGCTTAGTGTCAGGGGCTGTGTATTAGTGACAGGACAATCTGTGTCACCCACTCTCCAGGCATGGAATTGAAATGCTTCCTTCATCCACACCAGCCTGTGCCTTCAGATCTAAGTAAGCTGTGCACAACAAAAGATACTCCATCAGCATGAGGGTGTTTAAACTTGTGCCCAGAGAAGCTGTGGCTGCCCCATCCCTGGCAGTGTTCAAGGCCAGGTTGGACACAGGGGCTTGGAGCAACCTGCTCTAGTGGAAGGTGTCCC